CTTACCATGGTAGACGTATAAATGTATATACAATATGTTTAAAAATATTTAATACGTACAATGAAATAATGAGAAAATGCAAATTATCATCAACAATTTGTAATCACGTATTATAAGAACTAACTACCTCTAATTGTTATCAAAAAAAATTACCTACATATAAATATTAAACTATAAAACTTACACTATAATGAAAATGCGTTATGAATTTAGTTAGTACGGGCCTTTTTTTCCCTATAGGTGGGGCTTTTTTTACCGTATTTTGATATCGGGGCTTTTTTTAAGGAATACCGTATTTTAAAATACATCATATAAATTTCAAAATATTCAAATACACAAATCAAATACAATAATATTTATAATATATTTTCAAAAAAAGTGCGGGAATATAATATAATATAACTAGAGAGCGCTAGTATTCTTGACACAGCAGCTGATTGTCTTAGCACTTTTCAGTTTCATTTTATAGACTGATAACCTGCTCCGTTCCGTATCCAGTATATCTTAATTCATGGCTGAAACACAATAATATGGTTAAAAGTAGGTATTACTTGGTACATTATTGCAGTATGCCGTGTTAACCAATGATACCACTGGGCACCAATTTTGGTTTGCGTTTGACTTTGATTTCGCTTTTCAACGTACGGACGTGTGGTTGCATTGGTTTAATTATTGGTTCATGATAAAATTCAAACTTCGGTTCCAGGTTTTTTTTTTAGCATTTATTTGTATTACACTATTATGCATATTGTATTTCATACTTAATTGTTTTTATTACAAAAGTACATAAAATATTTAAGTATATTTTTTGTATATCAAATTTCTAAAATGGCGATTCCATGTATACAGGTAACCATTATTATTACCTTACAGTCTTAAATCTTTTATATTTTAAAAATAACTTAGTATTTACGTACCTAATTTTGTTTGTTTTGAATACTTAAATAAATTAAAAACTAAAAGTATATTTAAGTATTTTATTTCGAACCTTTAAAGATCTACTCCTATTTTGTACTATTTATTCCAGGTTGAAAAATGTCATAAGTGTTTGAACTATTATCCTATTAAATCTGTTCATCAATGTGTTCTTGTTCCAGTTGAAGAACCTAGTAATAATAATATTATTAAATAATTTTGTTTCATATTGTATGTGGTAGATTTTAAAGAAGGTGATATATTATTGTATGCTAAGTGTCTTGGTTTGGTAATTCTAATTTTAATAAATGTAAGCTATTGCATTGATTAAATATATTTAGTCAATGACTAAAGGTACCTGAATTGTGTGAACTTAACTTTATGATGCTCTCACTAAACAATTATATTCTGAAAATTAACTTTTTAAACCAACCATGAACCACTAAGATATTAAACTATTATGCAATGAACATTTTAAAATAAGATTCCATTATGTATTTTTGTTAGGAAAATTCCAAAAGAATTTACCAGCAGTATGTATTGGAAAAAAAACACCACTGTTTATAAATCTTAGTGATGATACCGAGGATCAAAATAAAGTAAATGACAGAGTAAACGATTTTAGTTCAACTTTGTGTTTAATAAATGCTATCAAAGCTCGTCGTCCATTGTTTGATCATACAATGCCGTTATCAGAAAGGTCTGAATCAATTAAGAACAAACTATGGAATGAAGTATTTTTTGAACTAAAAGGTGAGAATATACTCTTATTTTACCTTATAAAAATTTTAAACGCTAAAATAAATTTATGTCACATATATTATTGCTATGTACTGATGTCTTGCCATATACATATATACTTAAGATAGCCGGGGGAACGCATGAGTTGGTTCACACTAGGATGTGATTATGCTCGCGAACGCGCCTTAAAGGATTTAGGAATAACAACGTAATAATAAATTGGGTGCGTAGTTCTGAGAATTCAACAACCGAAATTGCGTTACGAAAGATATATGAAGATAATTAAAAATATAAATATCTATGGGCATAAATATTGAATATAATATTATTCTATTATAATTAAATATCCATCAGATAATAAATCTAATATGTCGACAGCGACAACCGCATAGGAGGCGACCGTTTCCTGGAAACCATACGCACACGTGCAATAGTAAACGGGGTCAGCGCTATCTTATCGCTAGGAGAAGAGTGGAGAATAGGCCTATAAAACAGGGACCCAGCCACCCGATATTCAGACGTGATTTACCAGAGCCAGTACGAGCACCTTCACGCCAGTCGACTCTCTGATAAATTTCAGTGTTATAAAAATATTCTATCAGTTTTACATGTCAAATAAAGTCTATGTTCGTAATAATCTAAAATTGACTTAGAATTTACTACACCTTGTCATCATTCATCTTGTACACCACAATCTGTGAGCTGGACCACTACATTATATACAATTAATATTAGAACATTTGATATGTAAAATACCATAATAGGTTAATGTGTTATAATGTTCAAGGTCAGATTACCATTAATGAATTAAAAAAAAAATGGAAATATCTAAAAGAAAAATATGTACGTGAAAGACAAAAAGCGAAAAAAAGTGGTCCTAAAGCAACTAGAAGAACAAAATGGTTACATTACATTCAACTGTCATTCCTGGAAGAAGTTGTAACACAATGCCAGGTCAAAAAGTAGTTATTCCATTTTTTAAAACTTATAAATAATTACTAATGTTTTAAAATTTTTAATCCAAATATCTTTATTACTTCTAGTTATTTAGATTTAAATTTAGACAACCATACTGAAAACATTCCTCAAAGTTTAACTACTTCTAAAGAGCAAAAAAGAAAAGAAAGTATGTACATATTATATTATAGTTTGTCTTGAATATTTATTTAGTATTACCGTAAACATTATATCACCTACTTGTGACATTTTAGATTCTGAGCGGAGCAATGAATGTATTGATTTTACAATGATATTTGTTGTTTTTTTTGTGTCTGTCGTCACGGTTTGGGGCAGTAAAAGTACTTAAATTTTCTTCATCTAGTAGGAAAGTGAATCTAGTTGGTACTTTGGGGGGTAACCTAACCTTATAAATTCCCAATGGTTTTTAAAAGCGGCAGGAAAAACAAATAACAAATTATTGTAGACATATGCAATTTTCACTGAATGTTTATATCCGCGTTTTCCATACACCATGGCATTTTCAAAATATTTTGACTTATATTAAACTATAGGCATATGAAATTTTTGAATATTATTTATTTTTTTAAACTAATGTCGATAAAAACATGTCTACTAGATCAAAAAACTTAAAAACAAAATACAAGGTTTTTGATATTGGAATTAAAAAAAAAAAAGTTGAGCGTAAATCCACAATAATTTTTTATGAGCTTTTGAGTTAGAAATTCATAAAAAATTTCTTGTTAAAATCTAAGATTTTAAAATTTAAAACTTATATGGAATGTTCCTTTAAGTTCGTCTACCTTCATAAAAAAAAAAAAATTCTACCGGAAAGTCAATTTAAATGTTTATGAACGTTTGATGTTGAAATTTTTACAACATTGGATATTCACTAGATTGTTCATGTAAAAATCTTCTTATCTCGTTGTAATTCAAAAATAAATAACTAGATACATGAAACTTTTGGAGTATATTATTATATTTTATACACATAATGATTTTTCAAATGAAATCAACATGTATCGGTGTGTACTTGAAACTACTTTTAAAGTGTATTATTAATTAATTTTTTTTTTAAATGAATTTTCTGTAGTACTAATGTTTAATAGTTAAATGAATTACTTTAACCATAATAGCATTATCAAATATACTAAATTAAGTAATATTATAGGCTAACAGACCATCTTTGCTCTGAATTGTTTTTGTGTACAATGGTTTTGTATCATTGAATTTGAATTTAACACCATCCATTACAGTGATCCACTTGTAACCTACTGTACAGCAGAGTAACATACATAGCTTTTTTATTTTTATTATACCAAATGTATTATTAAAAATATTTTTACTTATAAATTAGTGCTTTATTTTGGTACCTATGTAGTATATATGAATATTAACATCACACAAATACACAATACATAAACGGTGGATTATTGCTTATAGACTATAGTACATATTATAAATATTTGTTCTAAACTGTACACATAAGCTGAAATCCATTGAAAATATTGGGAGGCTACCATTTTTTAAAAGAACTTAAATAGTTAGGGACTCGGTCCCTTCATGATAACTGTTGGACTTTTGAAGGGCTCATCTCCCCTAAGCCCCCTGATTTCTGCTTATGTGTGTATTAACATATTATAAATCTTAGTTTTAAAGTGATATAGTAATACAATAACAGTTTTATATTCTTAGAAAATGACCATAACTTCCAAAGACACTTGCCAAATAAGTATAAAATGTCAAGGTATACATTAAGAATGGAATTTAACGAGGATTTATGTGATACTGATGTCTTCTTTGGAAAATACATAGTAGCATTAATGAAAGATGTACCAATAAAAAAGAGAAAAATGTTACAGTGTCAGTTTATAACATCTGTTATATCTGCTCTGGATTCTGAGTGATGCGCTTTCTTTACAATTTGTATTACACATGTACTGTACATATTACTGTATTATATTACTTATTACTGTACATACTGCTTTGTAACAGACTCATATCCATATAAATTTTTTTTTTTTGTAAATGTTATTTTTATTTTTTATAACATATTTGTTAATCTTATTTACATTTATGTATAATAATATTTGAAGAATATTTGATATTTTTATATTATTTTGTTATTCAATTATAAATAATTAATACAAAAATAAAATATATTTGCAAAATGAGCTAGTAGATTTTATCAAATATCTACTAGATACCTATCTTTTGGGAAATAATAATCAGGCGACGAGTGATGTGGAGAATAAAAATCCACAATTGTGAATATAATATTCAACTTGTAGGACGTGAGCAGTGGCACGGTAGAAATAAAACGACGCAGATAACGTGTTGGTGTTATTAATGCCCAATCCCAATGGCTACATATTATTATAAACTTAAGGTATATATAATATATATAGTTGTAGTAAATAACACGACGGTGTCAATGCTGTTGAAATCAAGTCGTTTTTTCGTGCATTTAGACCAATAACCTGAAGAAAAATAAATTTACTAATTCCATGTTTATTTTTGAAAAAATATTTGAACTTTTTCGGTTCTTGTCCTGTGTTTGGTAGGAAATTATTATTTTTTTTTTTATCAACACTTGAGTCAAAGTGAATTTAGAGAAAAAAAAATTGTATACTGTACTGTCTGTACTAATCAAACAATACAACAAATCGAAAATCCATTTCCAACATAACATAGAAAAGAGAATAAGGAATTCAGATATGTTTTCTTAACTAAAATCGGGCTTTGGTATTGGGTAAATTTTTCTGCCACTTTTTGGTACTTTCGTATTGAAACTTTTTTGATCTCAAAATATAGCTATGTGTGACTGCGCTTATGTACTTTACGGATTTCCAAAAATCTTAACTCCAGTTTATCTCTAATTGCATGAAGTGTTCGGGACTCACGAACACTAATGATCCGTCATTACACACAGTCACCTATAACTTTAATGGATATTACCTAACTCCTTAAAAAAATGGTCCTTTTTTAATCCCTGGCAAAAACTGTTTTGTACGAAACAGAACCACTCGAGCTGTAGTCCAAGATAAGCAACCAAATTTTCACACTATAATCAAGAGAACATTTACTGTGCAATAATGTTTGCATATTTTCGATAGCATAAGTACAAGAAAAGTTCTTATTGTTTAAAAATTCATTTTTTCAAACTTGAATAAATTTTTTTTGGAGTCCTCTTAATACATAAAACGACAACCGAGTGTGATGTCCTCGAATTAAAATAGATATATATCTCAATTCGTAGTGATTACGAATTTTTTGAAATAGAACCACTATACAAACATTAATATAGGTATACCATTTTAGTTTGTACTTTGTAATGTTAACACAAAAGCACTGGCTATAGTTGGTGATTATTAGGTATGGTATAAAAAACAAAATTATTGAAATTAATTCAAAAATCGGCAAACATAGGAATATAGGATTGATAAAAAATGTTCCTTATCATCATGGACTTAGTACTTAGTTAATATAATAATATAGATATTCATAGACCTTATTACCTTAATAAACTACTAGGCAAGCAATGACTGATCTGATGGTAAAGCGAATTTCTAGACGGTTAAGTTGTCTGTTGACCTCCCCGCATTTATTTAATTTTATGATATGAAAATTGTAAATTAGTTATTTAGAACATTTCGAATTATGATAGATAACATAATATTATAATACAAAAATACGACAGTGATATTATGTTATAATATGACATACCTATAGACTATGTTCATCATGAGGTATCATAAAGTACATTGATCAGTGGAACAGAGGCATTTCAGTCTTTCTCATCACCAAAATATTTTTAATTATTTGTTATTAGGTACTTAATATTTGTTATAGGGATATTGATATGATTATTGATTCGTTGGCCACTAAAAAAAAGAAACTTACTGTTATCAATTGGCTATAGTAGGAAAATTGTCGGAGGGTCGAACAACCATAATTTAATGTAGCTACTTGAAAATTCAAATTATGTAATACTGACTCAGATCTAAACCACATACCAGCTTTTTCGTTTTACTTTTGGCAGGTCAAAGAACAGAGTTTACAAAAATTTTCCGAATACAGTAAGCACAAAGCACCCTTGTAATCTGAGGCTCATAATATTATATTATATTAGTTTATTACCTCTCATTTAATGTTTTTCGTCCAAACAAATTTTTAATTAACTACACTTTAATATACTTTAAAAACCTGCAAGCAAGAAAATAAAATAAAACGAAATGAAATAAAACTTTTATTAAAATTATAAAACTGAACATAAGGTCTCTAACCAAACATAAGGTTCCTCACAAGTCAAGTAGATAATCTAGTAATTTATATTGGAACCTAAAAATATATATATGCACAGTTTTTTTTCTTAGATTATATTCTAAATCCAAATTGGGACAAAATTAGATACTGAAATGAAGCGAATAACGATTTTTGTTATTTTGTTGTATTTTAAAAGTATTATTCGTATTTCGTGGACAATTGAAACTTTTAAAGTTATTATATTTTATACCCGCGATGTTGAAAATCTGAGTATTTTTACCACCACAAGTCCACAAATGTGGACGACAGAAAAAACCACACACACACAATTGTAAATTGTAAACTCAATAGGTGCATTCATTGTCTTAAAATCTAAAATAAAACAATCAATATACTTTAGTGATGTAATATTATTTATTATTAGGACCTATTCTTACATATTAGGATAATAACATATATGTCAATAAATAATTGTATACTAATAAAAATAATTATTACAAAATATTTGAACTCATCGTCGTAATGTAAAAGAAAAAAAATGAAAAGGATAGTAATTTTGGTAGTTGCAACGATTTGTTATAAATAACTCAATTAATGAAATCTTGCAATTTGAATTTTAAAATCTCCTCGATCGACATATGTCTAATATTGGACTCAACCACAGAACCGACAAATGGATTATAGTAATCACAATAGTCACAACGATTTAAAGCTTAGAGTTTTAGACCGGTGGAGTAACGGGAATGAGAGGCGAGAGCCAGAGGTAAACATTTCTTATGTATTTTTAGATTACCCTTGTGTTCTCTTCGGTTCCACAAAGTAGAAATAGTTATGGTTTATTAAACAATTAGTCCGATGCATTAGCCGAATAATAATTATGGGAAAATGTTCAAAAAGTATTCAGCACATATGCGTAACTAGACCTCAATGTTAGGGGACCGGGGGGGGGGGGGGCAGCCCTAACATTTTTATAATTACTAAAAAAGTATATTTTTTGGATTCTTTCAATGTAATATGTATAAGTACGATACTATATGAACCAATTTTTTTCACAAAATTCACGCTAAATGGTTGGCTCAGTAAAGGCCGTGTAATTGAAAATTTTTGGAACGTAAAAGAAGGAGTAAAAGCATTTCTCAACAATTTAGATTCTGAAGAAGCAAAGAAGTATTCAGAGTTCTTAGAAAATAATCAAAATATAATGGCAATGGCTTTCTTGAATGATATTTTGAAATATTGAAATGCGCTTAATATCGCATTACAAGGAGAAGGGAAATTAATTTGCGACTTAATACAAAATGTGTCCACTTTCCGTCGTAAAATAAATATATTGGAACGAGACATTGAACAAAAAAAATTCATTCATTTTCTCACAATATATTTGAATGCAAAAATTATTCTGAGATTGTAAACACCGACAAATGTTAAAGTTTTTTGTCGGATCTTATGAAGGAACTTGATGCCTAGATTCAAAGACTTTTTAGAAGTAAGAAAATCATGACAATTCTTAAAAACTCCTTACAACGTTTTCCTAAACGGAGAATGGCCTGATGTGACCGAAAAATTATTTCATCCTTCAAAGTCGGAACTTCAAATGGAAATAATCGACTTACCAGGAAGATTTTACCTTGAAAATGTATAGAAGTGAGTCAACTGAAGAATTCTGGGCTAAGGATGTCATTGACAAGTATCCAAACTGTAAGCAACTGACAATCAACTTGGCTACAATGTTTGGTTCGACATACATTTGTAGTGCATCGTTTTCAAAAATTAATTTTTTGAAAAACAAATACCGGACAACATTAACAGATTTTCACCTTGAGGACACATTGCACATAAGCTGTGTTCTCCATGAGTTCTTGATTTCAAAAAACTGGCTAAGGAAAATAAAATGTAATTTTTCGCATTAATTTACTGGGTAAATTATTATTATTATTACAAAAAATTATTATTATTTCCCTAATAAATTATCTAATTAATTTTTTTTTTCATACTGCTAATATTGTAATTTTCAATATAATATAATAATTAATATTTTTTCACTGGACTTCATTGATTTATTATTTTAATCTTTAAATTGGGACTCCAATAGAAATTACTTGCCGACCACTGTATTATACCAATATTAATATATTATACTCATCACTATACATGATATTATTTATTATTGTCACGTCAATTGAGAATTACCCAGTGGTTGAAGTACGGGGGGGGGGGGGTTACATCCCTCCACATTTTATAATTCACATTTTCCATACCTCCACTTGTTTTGTACCTACGACCGTTCAAGCGATATATGAGGACTTTATAAATTATGTACGGCATCTCTCCATTTATTTTGAGTCACTTTGACCACTGGAATTACCACAAAGGTATATAGTCATTTTTTTAGCATGACCTCTCTTCCAATTATAATTAATAACTATTTATTTATTCAAATAATGTTTTTTATGTCTTCTTTAGGGAACTTCAGAATTTATATATTATTATACAAATAATCAAGTGTTTTAAGTGATAATTAAATTAGATAGTATACTTACTATACATATAAAGTACCATAATGCTTGATAATGTGAGAAGTTTTTTGAGGTATTAGTTGTTGAACATTTTATAATCTCATCAAAATTTGTCCTTAAAAATATAAGTGATCTAAATTCTCGAGTCCAGTACAACATT